TGCGTCCCAGGGTTCTGAAGGGCTGATGGTTACCGAGACACTCTCCATCATATTTGAAAAGTTGTGGCTGTCAGGTAAGGTCCCAGATGACTGGGGGAAGGATCATGTCATTCCCATTTACAAGAAAGGGAGCAAGGAGGACCCAGGGAACTACAGGCTGGTTAGTCTCACCTCTGTGCCTGGGAAGATCATGGAACAGATCCTCCTGGATGACATGCTTGATCACATGAGGAATGAGCGCGTGATCTGAGACAGCTAGAATGGCTCCATTAGGGGAAGGTCACGCCTAACCAATCTGGTGGCCTTCTATGATGGAGTGATGGCATTGGTGGACAAAGGGAAGGCAACTGATGTCATTTACCTGGACTTGAGTAAGGATTTCAACATGCTTCCCCACCACATCCTTATCTCCAAATTGGAAGGGTGTGGATTTGATGGGTGGACCACCCAATGAATAAGAAATTGGTTAAAAGGCCACAGACAGAGAGTAGTGATTAATGTCCAGGCAGAGGCCAGTAATGAGCAGCGTCCCCCAGGGGTCTGTCTTGGGACCAGTGCTCTTTAACATCTTTATCAATGACATTGACGACGGAGTCGAGTGTACCCTCGGCAAATTTGCTGACGACACCAAGCTGAGTGGTGTGGTTTACACAGTGGAAGGAAGGGATGCCATTCAGAGGAACCTCAACAGGCTTGAAAGGTGGGCCTAGGTGAACCTACTGAGGTTCAACACGGCAAAGTGCAGAGTTTTGCTCTTGGGCTGGAGGAATCCCTGGAATGCTCCTTGAGAGCAGCCCTGTGGAAAAGGACCTGGGGGTCTTGATAGAAGAAAAACTGGACATGAGCCAGCAGTGTGCCCTTGTGGCTTGGAAGGCAAATGGTATCCTGGGCTCCATCCATAGAGGGGTGGTCAGGAGGGACAAAGAGGTGATTGTTCCTCTCTAATCTGCTCTTGTGAGGCCCCATTTGGAGTACTGCGTCCAGGTCTGGAGCCCCCAGTACAAAAAAGACAGGGAACTGTTGGAGAGGGTCCAGAGGAGAGCCGCGAAGATGATCAGGGGACTGGAGCTCTACCCCTATGAAGATTGAGGCTTGAAAGCTTGAAAGGTGGGCTGAGGGAGTTAAACTTGTTCAGCCTGGAGAAAAGAAGGCTGCGGGGTGACCTCACTGCAGCATTTCAGTACCTAAAGGGAGCCTATAAACAAGAGGGGAGTCAAATCTTTGAAAGGGTAGATAACTGCAGGACAAGGGGAAATGGTTTTAAGTTGAGGAGGGGGAGATTTAGGTTGGATGTCAGGGGGAAGTTCTTTACAGAGAGAGTGGTGAGGTGCTGGAACAGGCTGCCCAGAGAGATTGTGGTTAGCTCATCCCTGGAGATGTTCAAGACTAGATTGGATGGGGCCCTGGGCAGCCTGGTCTATTATTAAATGTGGAGGTTTGTGGTCCTGCATGTGGCAGGGGTTTGGAGATTCATGATCCTTGAGGTCCCTTCCAACCCTGGCCATTCTGTGATCCTGTGATTCTGTAATAAATAAATAAATAAATGAATGAATGAATGAATGAATGAAACAGAAAGCAAGTCTACAAAAATTAATGTGACTGGATTCCGTTATCATGGCAAGATATACACAGAATTTTCATAGTGGAAGCAAATACAAGAGATGGATAATTTGGCTTTTGTATTTCTGTCTGAATATAAGTCAAAAAATCTAGTTTCCTTTGTTTATAGCATTTAAATCTCTCATGGCATGTTGGCACTGCTGCTGATTTAGATTGGAGATGGCTTCTTTTGAAGCAGAGATATAGATGTTTTACCTGTGCTAGTTTAATTTGTTTCAATCCACAACTACCTTGTAGATGTGGAATGAAAGTTTTCAGAAAAGTAAAGCAAATCTGCTACTGGCTAATAGCAGAGGGAAAGAAACAAGAACTCCTAGCTCCTCCTTTTTTATAGACTTCTAAGTTCTGTTATTTTACAAATCAAAAGATGCTGTATTGCTTTGAGTTTCAGTAAAAGTGGGTAGAATTGTATAATGTAAAGTCCATCCCATGATGTATTTTTACCACTCCCAAAGAGAAGGAAGAATAGCTAGTACAAAAACAAAGTTATTTTTTCTTTCAGTATAAAAATAAAAATCTCTTTCCACTGCCACTAGGCTTGTAAAAAATATTTTGCGAAGAAAGTTTAGCCAAAATAACATACAAGAGAAGGTTATACAGTGATGGTATCTAATTAACTCCTAACCATAAACAGAGCACAAAAGTCTCCCACAGTCTTTCGTGTTCCAGTGGGAACCTGTTCTGGTCCAGAAATGTACTCACGACAACATTTACTGAGACGGTAAGAGTTATTTGGTTTTGTGACTCTTGGTTACTGATAAACTTGAGTTCCCAATGTGCTATTTCGTGTTTGAAAACTGCTGTGCTCAGCCAAGCTCTATGCTCTCCACCCAGGGTGGATCTCCCTGGGTGCAGCTGAGAGCAGGCTATATAATACAGGATAATGCTATATTATTACAGTCTTTGCTATATACATCCAGACAAATCAAATTAGAAATGTATTTATCTGTACCACATTTTATCATAAGCCATGCAACCAATTCCTTATATGTTTAAGGTTTGAAGGCAACAAGTGAGGGAACTTGGTATGCAGAGGGCTACTACTTTGCACCACATATTGAGCCAACTTTTCAAGGGGCTTAGATCTCCTGAAGCCTGACTTTTTCCACCTTTCCAGACCGTTACAGGTAAGTCTGGATGCCATATGGATAGTAGAGATGAAACATAGCCATCCATCTGGGGGAGATTTTCTCACAGTTTTGCCAACACACCAAGTAATAAAATATCCAGATTCAACAGCATTTGCAACTGACTGTTCCTCCCAGGCCTTCTCTGGACTTTCAGCTAACACTGAAAATAGGAAAATGAGCCTTGAGCTTCATTGTGCAATATAGACATGCCCAAGAAAGAAATTTGCTATATAGCACGCCTGGGAGGAAAAATGACAGAGAAGATTGAGCCAGCACAGCACTCTAGCTATTTTATGTTCCTAAAATACATGCAGTCTCAGGGAATGTAGATTTCAAGCATATTTCCCAATGAAATGATTTTCCTGATACTAAACAGCAGCTAAGCTTCCGGACATATAGTGATAAAGGCTCATATTTGTAGTGACTTTTAACTTCCTCAAGTAGAATCTCACAGTCCTGGACTGGGCTGTTAGGGTATGGAACTTCAGTCCAACCTTAGTATTACTTATTTATTGAGGTCAGACACCTAAACTATGAGTGCCCCATTTTCCCCATGAAATTCTGCAAAGTCGAGGCTGGTCACTTTATGAGATTTGCCTCTTAAATAAGCTCAGAATAAGTAGTGTTTGTCTCTAGTTGCATGCAGTACATTATTTGGTTCTTGGTTTTCTCACTCTGGTCATTTGCAGGATGGGTAGCTTGTAGAGAGCATGCTTTTGTTTTACATTATTTTATATTATTTTTTATTACCTTATTTTATTTTATTTTGTTACCTTATTTTACAAATCTGTGAGACTACTTCCTAGTTTTGACAAATTTCCAGTCTGGCTTACTGTCTCTTCTGTTTCACAGTTTTATGTCATAAGCAAACCTCAGATGGGTTACATAGGAGTCCTGCTCAAAACATTAAATACAGAATATGTTCTTGATCAGCTATATTCCTTCTTCGAAACAATGAGCTTCAAATGGTCTGGTCAAGTTAAGGAAGCATAGCCTCCTCTTCCTGAAAATGGAGTTGCCAGTGCCCCTTCATACACCACTTTTATTAATGTTTTTACATCCAATTTCTTTGAAATACTTTTTACTCTTTTCTTGTACATGATGTCATCAGTGTCTGTCCTACTTCCTATGTTACTGTGATCTTTGTAAGTTATTCTGTTGTTGCAATCAGTCCTAAGGAATGTTTCCTGAACTGAGTGAACTCATGAAAATATCTGAGAAACCTTCTCCTCTTTCTGCTTCCACTTCCTTGAGATCTTAGAAATATTTTCTCTGGACATAATGCCTTGTCAGATTTGCAAGCTTATCATGTTCGTAAGTATTTTTGCTGGAGCTCACATAATTTTGACTTCTTCATCCCAGGAAAAGCACCAGAGTAAGAAAATGTTCACCATTCTTCTCTGAAAACTCAAGTTCCAAATTATTCTTGCAATGGCTTTGCTTCTCCTCTCACGCTAGTCTCTTTTTCACTTCAGTAATCTTTGAAAGTGCCAATTTTTATTTACCAACTGCATATTTTATTTAACAATTAATGAGTTTTTTAAAATTATTCTAAAAATACCCATCCTGTTCAGTTTGTACCTGTCATTTTAAATCCTCTGTATTATTTCAGGTTTCCTTGTAATCTCCTCATTCCTATGTGCAAAGCCCTTTGTACCTTTAGATCACATTTGCACTTACATTTAATTCACAACAGTAACAGAATGTTTTGTTGGTATTTTTTATTATTATTATTTTCTATTAAAAAGTGTTCAGCAGAAAATAGCAACTACTGGAGCATTTGAAAGCACAAGAACTATTCCATCAAGGTAATAAATATTTTCTCTCTTAAGGACCAAAATAAACAATGCAATTATCATTTAATCTTGTCTTGCATCTAACAAAGAACCTAATTCAACTATTTCTGCAATGACCCTAGTTTCTCTTTCAATTATAACATATCTTATAGAAGGAAAAAAAATATATTGATATTTCTCTACTTAGTTCAAGAAAGATATTTTGATTTACAGGTAGAGGATTGACCATGATTCAATGTACGATTTTTTCAGCATTTAATCACCTTCCATTCCAAGTCTACCTTCAGTCTCAGGCCTTCTGCTATGGATTTCAATAATCTTTTATTTTCAGAAAGACCTCCTTGTGTAAATGTTTCTAAACTGTGGTCACATTGTCTATCAAGACATTTTAGAATAAACAGCTTCTTCAAAGTTTTAATATTTGAGCATATTTTTGGAATTCACAATGACTCAGGGTCCATATCCTGTGTCCTGTCTAATACTTCTATATCTTTTTTGAAAGGTGGAAACCAGAACAGCACATGACATGTATGCCTGTACTATCACTTTTGTTCAGTCCATCTCATTGCTGAGCACTGATCTCTTGCTTCCAAGCAAGGTTAGTTCAGTTCTATGTTATGGTCTGCAGTAAGCCACAAACTTCTGTCTTCAGGGAAGCTAGAATTTAAAAAAAAAAAAAAAAATTTAAAAGGACTTTTTTCATAGTTTACCACATTTAGTGAAACTGTAGACTTCACTACATTTTGTTTCCTCTCTTCAAAGCACAACCCCAGCAGGACCACTGGCACTAAGGCACCACACCAGGCTGCTGTGTGAAGAGAACACACTCTCAGCAGTACATTAGTAAAGCAGAAGGCATGTGGGCTGTGAACCGTCTTTTTCTTAACCCGCCTCTAATTCTAGGGGAGAAAAGAGTAACCATTCTTCAGGCCTGAATGTGACAACACAAAGTACAACACATGATCATTCAGCCAAGCATATAGAAACCAGCTCATACTTACCATCCTGCTCCCTGAAAAAAGTCCTGTAAGCACTACTAGGAAGATAAAGTCCTGAGACGCATCTTTATACAACTGCATTCAAATATACTGCCCAGCATATCACCATTGAATAGGTCAAATGGCATGTCTCCACTGTCAGAATAGCTTCTGATAACCAAGAAACATGCTGCAGGCTGCCCAGGGGGGTTGTGGAGTCTCCTTCTCTGGAGATATTCAAGTCTCGCCTGGATGCCTACCTGTGCGACCTGGTGTAGGGAACCTGCTTTGGCAGGGGGGTTGGACTCGATGATCTCTGGAGGTCCATTCCAACCCCTACAATTCTGTGATTCTGTGATGCTGCACATCAACAGAAAGAAAAAAAAAAATGGCTCCTTTATGTAGTTTTTCTATTCACCCTGCATCCAGCTTCACCACGTTGTGCCAGCCAATGCTCACACACAGCCCAGATGGTTTCTCTCTGCCTTCAAGGGTTACTGCCCAGCAGGCATGGAACATGGGGAAAGTACAGGGAATTAAGTGACAGTCCTGAATTTGCCTCTGGATGTAAGGATCATAGCATGCATCCTCAGGACTTTCACCCTTCCTGGGGTCATTTTTCTATGGTGCCTTGGGTATGGGTGCACTCAGGATGAGAAATGTAAGCAAACATCTGCAGCATGCACTCCAGCCAGATGTGCATTCCTGACTGGGAAACAGAAGGCATGCAATAGCAGTAAGTCATGCAGTAAGTCCTGCAGAGCTACTTTTACCTTGCAGGAGGCCACAGAAAGGCATGGAGCTGTCAACCTCCCCACTATGAGCTGTACAGATGTTACACAACATTGTTGTCATGCCATACTCAAGCCAGTTTCCTTCCCCCTCCAGCTGCTATCCAGACCAGCAGGATTTTCCTCCTCTCATGAGCTCCTGTAGGGTTATCAGACTTCTAAGGGTGCCACTTCAATGCCATCTCCTGAAATTTTTAAGACATTTACTGGTAAGAGATGTAATCTGAGCTATCTTCTCAGAATAAAGTCTATCACCAGTGAGGTTAGCTCAGGTGACTTCACATCAAATGCAACCTTGGATACAGTCAAGAAACTCCAAAGAATATTGCTTTCTCCAAATATCATCATCCCTTATATGTTTGCTAGCTCAGCATCTAGACGTATTGTTGAGGAACGATAAACTTCTTAGCACCTGCTGGCCAGCCACGTGGCTGCAGCAGACCATTTGGCAGAAAATGGAGCATGTTCAAAGAAAGGCAACAAAACTGGAGGAGTCTGGAACATAAGTCTTATGAGGAGCAGCTGATGGAACTGGGACTGTTGAGTCTGGAGAGGGGGAGGCTCAGGGGAGACTTTATTGGTCTCTACAGCTACCTGAAGAGAGGTCATGGTGAAGTGGGAGTTGGCTTATTTTCCCATGTAAGTCGCAATAGGGCTAGAGGGAACAAGTTGCACCAAGAAAGATTCAGATTGGATGCTAGGAAATACTTCTCCAAGAGAATGGTCAGATGCTGGAATGCTGCCCAAGGAGGTAGTGGAGTCACTGTGGAACACCTGGAGGTGTTCAAGAAATGTTTAGATGTTGTACTGAGGGACACTGTTTAGTCTTAGGGAAATATTGGTGATACGTGGATGATATGACTGGATTAGACTTAGAGGTCTTTTCCAACCTTGGTGATTCTATTATTTTATGATTTTAAGATGCTGGAGGCAATTCTGGACAGATTGCCTTGCAGCTGCTTACCTGGGAAAGGAGCAGAAATACTACTGAAAGGGCATCCCAAGGGTGTTTCAGAGCAGAGAGTCGCAGGACGGCTGATATCCTTCTGCCACCAGTGCTGCAGCTGTGATCTTCACTCTTTGACATCTGTCTCACCTTACTTTAGTTCTGCTAAGATGCATCTCGTTTAGAAGGGCTCACAGTATTGGTCAGAATATCATTTGTGGTTAAAGTAAGCCCTTTACAGGAGTCTCCAGTTATGGACATGCACTTGACTGTGACTGAATACAGAAGCTTTAATTACCACCCATGAGGTGAGCTGTCTTAGCTGCTTCACATCAATTTTTGAAACTCTCACAATATCCCGTGGTATGTTAATGGAGAACTTCCAGCTCTGTTCTATCAGAAGTTTCAACACTAATTTACCTAATCACAGATACAAATATCCTAATATATTTCATATATTTAACTTATCTACTTACAAATATGTGGCTCTTCCTCGTTTCTCTGGAGTTGTCTGAGCTATGTTGTCACTTTGTGATCCGTAATTTATTACCTCTGTGCCTCAACATGTTGATTTTCTGGTGCCATTTCCAATCTGACTTATCCATGAGTCACACCAGTGTAAGTGTATTGCAGCCTCTGATTTTGTCCCTATCTGTACACATATGCACTAGAGGAAAAATTCTGTTTTGAATTCATCTTTTCATTCACACAGTACATCTTACTGTTACAGATAAAAGCAATTTTTATCACTGTTAAAAATGCAAATCCAATACGGTTAGGAAAGAGCAGTTGGTATGTTATTCTGCCTCACGTATTATTGAAAAAATTGTCAGTCAAAGTTCTCAATACAGGTATTTTATCATTTTCAGTGGAGATAATAAGAAGTAGTACATCTGTTTTCATCTCATATCCTAAATGGCCTTTGCAGTTCTAGTTCTTGGAAAAATGTTAGATTTTAATCTGTGAATTCAACCAGTTAGAAACATGAATCTTGGCTGTTTTCATAGCTCAAAATGGATGTAAAACTGGTATTATTGTTGATTATAACTTCCTGACACAGGTGGTGGAGAAGCCAATGAGGAGAGGTGTACTGCTGAACCTTGTTCTTACAAACAAAGAAAGATCAGCTGCAGATGTAAAGGCTGGGGGCAGCCTTGGATACAGCAATCATGAGATAGTGGAGTTCAGGATCTTGTGTGAAAGAATCAGGCAGTAAGTAGTATTGCAGCCCTGGGCTTCAAAAGAGCCAGTTTTGACCTCTTCAAGGACCTACTTGGAGCATCCCATGGGTTAGACCATTGGAAGTTAAAGGGGTGCAAGAGAGTTGGTTAACATCCAAGCATCACTTCATCCCAGCTAAAGATCAGTGCTTCCTTAAGAGTAAGAAATCAAACAAAAATAGCAGGAAACATATGAATGAGCAAGGAGTTCATGGAATGACTCAGAAGAAGTTTATGGAATGTGAAAAAAGGACCTAGCCACTTGTAAGTAATTTTGGAAAATTTAAGAAATAGAAAAAAAGCACACAGGGATGCAAAAAGGAAGGCTAAGGCCTTCTTGAGATTAAATGTGGTGACGGAGGTCAAGGACAACAAGAAAGGCTTCTTTAAGTATGTCAACAGCAGAATTAAAATGTGAACTAGCCACTAATGAGGTGGGTGCCCTGGTAATGGAAGGCACTGAGAAGGCAGTTACTGAATGCCTTATTTTCTTCAGTCTTTACTACTAACACTATCCTCTTACGTAGAGGTAAAAGAGAGAGTCTGGGGAAAGGAAAACTTCCCCCTGGTCAAGGAGAATCTGGCTAGAGATTCTCTAGGCAAATTCAACACAAACAAATCCATGGGTCCTTATGAGACGCATCCACATACATTGATGTAGCTGGTAGAAGAGATTGCTTAACCACTCCCTATTGTCTTTGAAAGATCATGGAGAACAGGAGACTGGAGGATAGCCAATGTCACTTCAGTCTTCGGATAGAGGAAGAAGGAAGATCCAGGAAATTACAGGCCAGTCAGCCTCACTTCCATCCCTGGGAAGCTCATGGAACAGCTTATTCTGGATGTCATATCCAAGCAAGTGAAAGAAATGTTTATCAGGAATAGCCAACTTGGATTCACCAAAGAGAAATCATGCTTGACCAATCTGGTAGCCTTCTATAATGCCATGACTGTCTGGGTCATTGAGGGGAGAGCACTGGATGTTGTCTTTTTTTACTTCAGTGAAGCTTTTGACATTGTCTCCAATACCATCCTTGTAGGTAAGCATAGGAAGTGTGGGATAAATGAGTGGACAGTGATGTGGATTGAGGCCTGGCCGAATGGCAGAACTGCAATCAGCAGTACGCAGACTAGTTGGAGGTCTGTATGTAGTGGTTCTCCCCAGGGGTCAGTACTGTATCAAGTGTTATTCAACATCCCCTTCAGTGACCTGGACAAAGGGATAGAGTACACCATCAGCGTTTGCTTATGATACAAAGCTGGGAAGAGTGGCTGACACACCAGAAGGCTGTGCTGCCATTCAGAGAATTGGACAGGTTGGAGAACTGGACAAAGAATAACCTGATGAGGTACATGGGCAAGTGCATAGTCCTATACCTGGAGAGGAATAACTGCATGCTTTAGTACAGGCTGGCGGCTGAACTGATGGAAAGGAGGTCTGCAGAAAAGGACCTGGGTGTCCTGATGGAAAACAAGTTGGCCATGAGCCAGCAGTGCGCCCCTTTGGCCAAGAAGGCCAATGGTATCATAAGATGCATTACAAAGACCATGGCCAGAAAGTAGAGGGAAGTTATCTTCCCCCTCTACTGTGCCCTCATGAGGCCACATCTCAAGTACTGCATCCTGTTCTGGGCTCCACAGTTCAAGAAAGACAGGGAACTTCCAGAAAGAGTCCAGCAAAGGTCTACAAAGATGATGAGGAGCCTGGGACATTCCCCCTTATGAGAAAAGAAATGATGAGAGACCTGGGACTATTTCAGTCTGGAGAAGAGTGAGAGGAGATCTCATCAATGCTTACAGATATGTAAAAGATGGGAGTCAAGTGGATGGGGCCAGGCACTTTTCAGTGGTGCTCAGCAGCAGGATAAGGTGCAATGGGCAGAAACCAGAACTTGGGAAGTTCCATCCAAGTATGAAGAAAAACTGTTTTATTTGGAGGAGGACAGAGCACTGGAACAGGCTGTCCAGAGAGATTGTGGAGTCACCTCTGGAGTTATTCAAATCCCATCTGGTTTTCTTCCTGTGTAAGCTACTGCCGGAACCTGCTTTAGCAGGTGGGTGGACTCAATGACCTCCAAGGGTTCCTTACAAACCCTATGGTTCTGTGATTCTGTATTGAAGTTCTGCATTCTTTTTTGCATGCAAATCATAGGTATTATAAGTGCGGAGTACTTAATAGAACACATATATATGTATGTAACTATATTTATTTATATTGATATATACTGTATTATACACAGGGTGCTCTGAAAGTAATGCATCCTATTTATTCCCATTTAAACTGCAAGAGATACAAAGGGCACAATAGCACGATTTCATAGAACAAATTCTTAGCTACATAGCACTATTTTCCAGCATAGTCAACACCATTAGCTATGTGTTTTCACCAGCAATGAACAAGAGCCTGCATGCCTTATTCATAAAAAACCTGCACCAGCAGAGGTGACCCACTGTCACTACAGCTGAAACACATCACCCACTGCCTCTTTGCACTCACATCCACTGTTTAGTCTCCAAAACCACTCTCAATGGGTGCCATCTTTTTTCTGAATGGAAGAATTCAGTGACATACATTTGCTTCCATGTCAGACACCATTTTGTCAGACTGTCCCTGTGTTGCAATCTGTCACATGGCAACAAAATGTAATAGGATATTGGTGGGAAGGTTCACCCTCTACTGCCATATCACCAACATCCATCACTGACATTGTGACCTATATAATAAAATAGGAGGCTTTACTTTTCAGAGCTTTTAGAACCCTCCTATATGAATACAATGACTGTTGAAATTGAGATGTTTTTCCTTATAATCTGAGAGTCAATGTAGCTCCTCTGCAGTAGTTTATAAACTTCAATGTTATAATATTTAAAATGTTAGCAATTTTCAATATTTATCAATTTTAGAATCTTTTCACCCCTGCAAAAAAAAAAAAAAAAAAAAAAAAAAAAAGAATCATGCAAAATTCAAACAATCTTTCTCGTTCTGACAGTTTTCCTGAGGTTTTTGAATATTCCTTCTTATAAAAGCTTCGAAAAACTCTAGACTGCTTTTATGTTCTGCTGTAGCTGTTTTAAGCAAATATAAAGCTGTCAAATTATTTCTTGATCCTGTCAAAATGAGCATTTAATGAGGTATCAGGGCAGATGTACTTGTAATTTTTTGTGTAAAATAAATGATGGTTTTGTAGGACAGGTTAAGGTGCTGATTTTCCCTGTCTAGCAAAGGACTTCACATTTATACCTGTGTTAAGCTGCTGCGAAGTGAGTGTAAAATCTCACCGTTAAGAAATCATCAGCTACAGTGCAAGACTGTTGGCAAAAAAATCAAGAGATATAAGGCAACATTTGCCGCTGGCTTTGTCACTCCATCAATGGAAATATAACACAACTGTATTCTCCTGTCTCCAAAAAGTACTATAATTTTTAATAGTTCAAATAAAACTCCATTAAGTCCATAACCTGGCTGTACAAAACTGAAACCATCCTGTAATAGAGAACTTTAGCTTAAGAATGCACTGATGCCATGTGTGATTTGAAGTTGCATGCCTTTGTGATCTGGGAGAAAGAGATTTGCAGGTGAGCATACTTTTCTCTCTATCTTTTCATTCTTAATTATAAGATCAACAGCTAAAGAAGCTAAATAAAGTCTTCAGCCTTGTCTTCTGGTTGTGTTGACTAATCTATGGGCAAGTCCTGCTCAGACCATTACAGACAGAATCACTTTCAGTTAAGTCCGCTGAATAAAGAATTCATGACTTGAAGTGGCTGATACACTGCAATTCTTACATGACTTCCAGCAAGCGCATAATTCTGCCTCAAATTAGGTATATCTGGAGAGTGGGAATTTTTTGCCTCAAATCTGTGGTCAGCTACCTAAATTGAAATAATATTTAAAATCAGCTCATGATGTTATAAAATGACATATTTAATGGGACCGATTTGATTCTACTCTGTCTATCATGTATTAAAGTATTTAAAGATATAGCATCTTATTGTTAGCCACAATGCAGAAACGTCCAAATTAAGTTAGAAATGGAAGGACCACTGCATGCCTTGCTTTTTCTACATTTCACTGATTACTGTCATAAATAGATATTTTTTGTTCTTTTGTGCTGTTCTGATTTTTAACCAAACAGTCAAACTCATTCTTACTTGTGCTGCCCTGAGTAACACATCCTGAAAGTTCAGAATCTGGCCTACTGTGCCCACTGCATACTGCCACTTTATTTGATCCCACTTCATTTAAAATGGAATATGTCAGAAGCTATGCTCCCAGGAACAGACATGAGAAGACAGATGGGTTTTGTTGGTCCATTTGCTTTTGACCAAGCTATGATCTAACATTTTAATCTGACTATGATCTAACAATTTAATCTGCCTGAACACTTTAATCCAACAGAACTTCATTTTAGTGTAAAATATTATTTATTCAACACATTTCAACAGTTAAGTGTCAAAAGAATCACTGAAGGAACCCACGTGTCGGCCTGTCAAGAGCTACTAGCATGAAACAGGAAGATGAATTATAACAGTAATTTTAATTTAAAATATATTGTTTCTACATTGGAAAAAGAGAAGCATGTTCCTATCTCCTATCAAAGATGCAGCACACAGCATACATTAGGAGTGTCAGAGAGTACGCTTAGAAACCAGAGATTAAACTTTAATGGAAAAAAAAAAAACAACAAGGTTCCTACTTCAACCTCTTTTGAGGACCTGGATGGATTTTTCTGGCTGCATTGAGCCGTGGTAGAGGCACGCACCTCAGCAAGCCCTACAGGCTGCCTACTGCAGCCCAAGCTGCCTAAGGTCCCTGCCAGATGGCTCAAGACACAGCAGATGTGGTGTGTACGGGGCTCAGAAACAATGTACTTACAGTTATGGGTTTCCTGCTCCTCCTGAATGGACTGTGCTACTGGTGCTACTGTGAAACCTCATAGCTTCAAGTGAATTTGGTCAGATTACAGGCAGCCTTATCATCATCTCAGTCATGTAGAAGCATTTTTGCACTCTTTCAGAGCCTGAATTTTTACCAGAATTTGGTTGTGCCTGGAGTTACGTAAACGGATAAGAAAAAAATGACATCAAAAGGTTTTGTCAATAATTAGGAGGAAAGATAGATATCTTCAGAGGATCATTTATTTCACCTTAAAACAGGAAGAATTACTCACCCTGCAAAATGCTGTTTTCATTCACCTTGCCATCAGACTCTACGCTGAAATTCTGCCATCTACAGGAAGCCATAATCTACTTTCAGCTACAAGTGAAATAAAGCAAGCCATAATAACAAGGTTTTATTTCAGAGCGATATGCAAACAACCTACATCATCTTTTTTTCTATATTTTTCCTACACTGCTCATCTACCTAAAAAGCAGCCTCTGCAGTTGTTTCTTTAGCTCCCTCCAGCAGTTAAAAAGCAACTTGTCCTCCTGAAAATTCTCCTTCCGTTTAACCTACGCTGCAGTTTTACCATATGTTCTGAGATATACTGCAGTCAGCAGTGCTTTGCTTGCTAGTTTCAGTTTGTTCCATATAAATAAAAAATATCATAGCCTAATAGCTCGTTTTACATTAATTGCTATTAATCACTGTATTATTTATTGTGCAAAGCAGTTCTTTAATGTTGTTTAAATTGATGTAGCAGCACTGTGCATAGCCCATAGCTTGCTAGGAATTTTAACAATAGATTCAAATTCCTGCTCATGTAGGAAAAAGACATTTAGAAGCCCCTATCTTTCAGTGCATGTAGGACTATCTCAAGATTTTGCTGCTATTTGACAGGTTGTATGGCTTGAGGGTTCACTGGAACCTTTAGATGAGATAACTTTGGCAGATATCAAAATTCAAAATTCAGTTTGCTTTAGCAAGCAACTGTTCTCTAGTTAAGGTAAAGTGAGCCACTGGAGTAGCTCTGTGGACATAGATCAATGTACAGCATCAGCAGATACTGTTTTTCATCTACTTGTCAGAAAAGTATTTGTTGCACTTACACCCAGATTTCAGAAACTTTTTATTTCCAATTTCCTTTTCCCTGTCTCAATTATTCTATCATTATCAGGTGAACTGAGCTGTACAGGGCTGCTGCATTAAAGCTGAACAAAAACAAACAGTAAAAGTCAATAAGTGTCCATTTCAATGGAAAATGTTCCTCCATTAAAGAATAATGAGATCTCTCTCATAGATGAATAGCATTCTGAAATGTGACCAATGGCAAATCAGACTTCTGAATTGCAGAGCTCTTACTGAAGGAAAAGACAAAGAAAAGCAAAACATTTCTATTGTAGTGTTTAGCATTTCATACTCTAGGCCATGTTTTTGTTTAGGGTTGGACATTTTTTCCTCACAAGTTAAGGTTTAGAACCAGCCATTCTCACAATAAGTTGCTTGACTTTTTCTCCTCTCCTCTCCTCTCCTCTCCTCTCCTCTCCTCTCCTCTCCTCTCCTCTCCTCTCCTCTCCTCTCCTCTCCTCTCCTCTCCTCTCCTCTCCTCTCCTCTCCTCTCCTCTCCTCTCCTCTCCTCTCCTCTCCTCTCCTCCCCTTCCTTCCCCTCACATCCCCTTCCTCCCCTCTCCTCCCCTTCCTCCCCTCCCCTCCCCTCCCCTCCCCTCCCCTCCCCTCCCCTCCCCTCCTCTTCTCTTCTCTTCTCTTCTCTTCTCTTCTCTTCTCTTCTCTTCTCTTCTCTTCTCTTCTCTTCTCTTCTCTTCTCTTCTCTTCTCTTCTCTTCTCTTCTCTTCTCTTCTCTTCTCTTCTCTTCTTCTCTTTTTTTTTTTTTTTTTGTTACATACAATTGCACTGAGTAGAAAAGACTTCACTGTTATCTGTTAAGACAGCTTGCAGGGGACCAAACTAATCTCTGCTGCAGAAGTTCTCCAAAAAGAAATCACATTTTCCTTGTAATGCAATGTGACAAAGTGATATAATTCAGTAACTGTTTATAAGCAAGAGGCAAACGTCACAGTCTTGACTGATTATGGAGATATAAGACCAGGGAAGAAATGTTACACCAGGAGTCCCAAGAGCTCGGGCAAAGCTGAAGGCAACACATTACTGAGAGCAAGTTGTTCAAATTGCAATGGATGCAGATGCTTTTTCACTAAGCTAATTCTGAAGCCCATATTTTTTTAGTCCTTTTTTTTTTTTTTTTTTTTTAACCTTAGTGATGGTTTTATTTGAGTAAACACTAGCTAGGACTTCCTGTCCTAAACTTAATGATTTAGGAGTACTAGCCAAAACCTGATGTTACTCCAACACAACTGAAAGATGAAAATGAAAAACAGAAAGCAAAAAAGCATGCATGACAGAAGCTAAAGCTGTACTGCCTATCAGAGATGGATGACTTGGGTGTTGTGCCCACTTCTCTCCTCTGGCACCGTAAGGGAGCACGGTCCACTGGTGAATGCACTGAGACTCTCATTGCCTAAACCCAGTTCTGCTCAGTCAGACACTTAGAGATGCCTATGGACTATCTCTTGTTGGCTCACCAAGCTAGATTTTTCAGTATTTTATAACATAATTTCTTTTCTGTGACATCATTCCATTGGTTCTCACAGGTACCACTTTCAAAGTTCATTCTCATGCACTGACAAACTCTCAGGGACAAATAATGGAAAAAAAAAAAAAAAAAAACAACCTCAAAAAAATTAGGTTATAGAAAACAGCAAGAGGTCCACTCTGTTCTGTAAGTGATTCTATATAATTAAATATATCACATACACGCACCTAAGCTGAAAGGAAATTTCTGTTTCAAAGAAAATGTTCCAGAAACACCATGTTCATGAGATGAGAGAAGACAACTTTTTTTGGAGCACTCTCACCCAGCTCAGTAGTCCTGCTTACCATCGCAAACATTATTTCTTTGGCATTGAATGTTATTTTCTTCTTTTATTTACAATACAAAAGAACAGTTCTGTGGTTTTCCTGAGATATATGAATGAGTTGAGTCATCTTTGCCTCTGATAAAGAATGAAGGTAATATGCGAAGAAGCAGCATATTGAATAGATTCATTCTAGCTATGAATGATGCATGAAGGCTCTCTTTCTCTAGAAGAAAAATGTGAAGCAGCTGTCAAGACTCAATACTAGAGTAAGTTGAAGCATTTTTCTAAATGCATCTTTGTCTTTTCTTTGGTTTCAGTGATTAAGCTATTCATTCACTACCTCAAAAATATATTTCTTGTCATTATGGATAAAATATAATATTTTTATTTCTCTTCAGTGATCTCAGAAAAAGCATAATCTAAACCAAAACAAAATCAATTATTTTCCTTTTCAGCAGAAAGTGGATAGCATCTCAAAATCACATTTCCACATGGATCATCAATGAAGTGATTTTGAACAATATAAATTTTGTAACTGTCTAATAAAACTCAAAGCAAGAAAAAAGTAATACAAAGTCCAGATGTCCAATTTCTGTATTTTTTTATATAACATCTAAAAACATCAGAAGAAGATGTCAGATGCGAGTGCAAACAAGCACTGGTCTCTTCCTTTGAGCCTCTTCTCTCTCCTTGTCCCGCTGATTAATTAAAAAAGAAAAAAATAATTTGCAGCTGGCGCTTTTTCATTAACAAGGGTAATTTATAAATTTAAACAGAGATTGTGCTTCCAGACGTATTTCTTGAGATGCAAAATGTGAGGATTGATATCAGGACAAAATAAAGAGGCCAGAATGGGCAACCCCCTGCAATTACAGCAAAAGAAAATGGGGCTTAGAACAACCATGTGAGATGTCCTGTTTCTAAGAAAGACTGTAGTTGTTCTCAGCCGCCCTTACCAAGCTCTTTTCTTATGTAAACATGCTTATTCTGCTGGTAAGGAGTAGATTCTCAATACACCTTAACCATTTACTGTGTTTATAACACAGAAATCCCCTGGAAGCTGCCTTTTTTAAAGCTAACATTTGTTATAAATATCTCTTCTGAACAAGGCCAATGTGGACTTATCCATAGGATCCTCCTGTCAAATAAATCCTCCATCAAATAAATATGAAGGCTACTCCAAAAGTAATGCCTCCTACTTTATTATGTTGGCCACAACATCAGAGTTGGATGTCAGTGGTATGGTAGTAGAGGCTGAACCTTCCTGCCAGTATTCCATTACATGTTGTTGCCATGTGACAGACAGCAGCAGAGAGGCAATCTGACAAACTGGCGTCTGTCATGGAAGTGTGTGTGGATTAAAGGTGTGCCATTGAATTCCTCCATTCAGAAAAAATGGCAGCCATTGACATTCACTGACACTTGCTGAACATTTAGGGAGACCAAATAGTGGATGTGAACACAGTGAGGCAGTGGGTAGTGTGTGTCAGCAGAGGCAACAGTGAATCACCTCTGCTGGTGCAGATTTTTATGAGTGTGGAATCTAGGCTCTTGTTCAACACTGGCAAAAATGCAGAGATAATGGTGATGACTATATAGAAAAACAGTATTTTGCTGATGACAATTTGCTCTACCAGACAGTGTTATTTATCTCTTTGGATCTGTTGTTGTTTCCATGGACATAAATAGGAGGTATTACTTTTGGAGCAATCTACATATATGAGAGTAAAATGTTATTGACTCAGTAGGAGACACTTAGCTAAAGGCATTCCAATTTTGAAATGAAGGTTCAAGCAACAGAAATGAGAAGGAATCCCTTCTGCGAGCCTTGCTGCGTCCCTTGAGCAGGACTAGCAAACCTCATAGGACCACTCAGATTCCCTTGCTGCACAGAGACCAACAAAACCCAGTGAGTTACGTCACATTTTTCTTAATCTTCCATCAGGCTATAAATTATCATGCCTCTCATGAAAAGGCTGTTAGCCTAATTCTGGGCAAACGTACATAACCAAATTGCTGCAAGCACGATCAAGTCAAAAATATTCTCTCTCCCAATCCCTGGACGCAAAAAACACTGAACATTTACTTTCTGCCAGGAATAAACCCTGTCATCCCTGTGGATTCAGCCTTTCTGGTACATCTTTGTCAAACTGATTAGGCCAACTTCTAGAGCAGCCCCACAGTGTGGGGTGATGGCAGCAGAAATGATCTAGGGTTTTAGTCAGAGAAAGAACCCTGTAAGCACAGCATTAACATTCACAATGAACATTTGTGGGCAAGACAGAAACAAAGATAGAGATCCATCTGAAATAATAGGCTTTTTCCAATGATTGCTCCTCATCACTTAAGAATACATCAATCTTGCGTACCAATCCCACCTTCTGCTACTGCAGGCTGTCGTGTCATATATTACTTTTCTTGGGTTCTGTTCTGTAAGAAATAGTTAATGCCTACAGTGAGAGTGTTTCTAGCTTATAATTTCAATTTATTCATGACCAGTTTATAACCATTTCCTTCTTAGCCAATATTGTCCCTTAGCTTAACTAGCTCTTTTCCCTTCCTGATGTTTATCCTCCTATTATATTTACACCGGACTGACGTATCCCCTGTTAGCCCTCTTTGAACAAGGTAAGCTCTGGCAGTTCCACTCATGGGATTAACTGGATCACTTCCCCTGCTCCCCAGCACTCAGCTTTCTTAAATAAGTCTGTTTGCTGATCTTTGTTTGCTCTTCTTCATGCATATGGTACCACCCCTGTATAGATAGAGTTATTGCAGTGTGGACACTAGATGATCCCCATCTGATTATATCTTCTCCAGTCCTCCCAAAATACGGATTTTCTATGATGGAGATAGATGGGATTAAGAAATTGGCACAGTGCACAACCTTGGAGTCCCAAAGCTTATGTTCTTACATCGGGTAGCCGCAGGAAAAGGAGAAACACAGTCTTCGTAGATGACTTTAGCTGCCTTGAAGTTCCCTTTTCCTACTAATTCTATACAGCTCTGACTATAGCCTGCAACATTTGAATCTTTCACTTGTGTGTCAAAAAGAGTTCAATGAAATCCTGAGTCACGCTATAGTTGTATATTGTTGTTTGTGGGACTTTGGAATTTTGAAGCTTAACGTATCCACCAGAATATCCTGAGTAACCGAGACCAAAACATGACAAGTGGACTTAGTAAGTGCTTTGTGGGGGCCAGACTGCATGAAAGCCGGGTAATGCTCTCAGAGGTGGGGTAGCAGACACTTCCCTGTGCTCACCTGCAGTCGCTTGGCCGGCACTGCAGTTCTCTCCTGCT